GCTGCACATAATTTGTTGCTTCTCTTTGAGCGCTCCTTGAAAGACAAGCTTTGGAAATAAATATACATCTGGCAAGTCTGAGAGACGGGACTTTAGCAAGCACTGCAGGCTAACTGGAATTCCACAGCGGACTATTTGCTTCCTCTTTCAGAGATAAATCAGAAAGACAGGAAAAGAGAAAAAAAAAACAAACATGAGCAGAAATATCTACCCAGATTAACTTGGAGCAAAAAGGTTTTGTGATGTTAGCTATATCAACATTTAAACAGAAATATTTACCCAGAACTGGAGTATTCCAAAGCACATTCCTGATTTACCTTGGTAATTCTTTGCTTTTTCATTCCCAAACTTTCTCCAATCTGCAGCTCTGATGTCTCCCAGCAAACCCACTTTACCACAGCCTGGTCTGGCTGATTATTAGGTACGTTTGGTCTCCCAGCCCAGTGGAGCCAAACTACTTAGCAGAATATTTTGCTCATCTGTAAAACAGCATCACTTTTACACAAAAATATGCGTATTTCTTATTCAAGATATTTACCCAGGAATATTTCACAAGACTGGGACAACAGTTTGCAACTTTCCACCTCCTTCTTGCTTTAAGCCAGTGGTGGTTGCCCAGGAGGGTCCTGATGTCTCTGGAGCTGGTGCTAAGGGGGGTAGGAAGGTAGAACCCAAAGCTAGGTCGCATCTACGACAAATTTCTGGTCAAAGCATCAGCTGTAAGAACTATTATTACAACTAATAGATGTGGATATCCAAGCAGCCCAAAACAAACTCTCAGCACGTGGTCTGGTCACTCCCAATAACCAAATTGTTTCCTGTGAAACTGTTCAGAAAGAGAAAAATGGTGCAATTGGGACAACAGACTCTTTGCAGTGACATCCTGGAATATCAGCCGGCTCAGGATGCTCAGCCACAACACAGGCAACCCAGCTCCATGCTCCTCAAAATGCTGTCTGCAGGAAAAACTGGTTACTTATTAAATCAGCATTGGTATTGATACAGAGGAAACCAGACACGTATTTAGCTTTTTGTGCAGATGGAAATGCACCTGCGTAAAGAAACTCCTCAAAGAGTTTTCTGTAAGGAAACAACCAGACAGTGTCTTCTCCTAATGCTTCCCAAAAGCCAAAACAACACAAGAAAGGGTTTTGCAGGTGAAAGTACTGGAATTTGTGTACCCGCAGGTGCAGAACTGATTAAAAGGCATCCATAAAGGGACGTAATTTCTAAGCAGGTGTTTGTACTTAAAAAATACAAATTAAGATATATCCATAATTTATTGAAGTTTCTATAAATGGAGTTAATCTAGAGATAGGTCTAAATATGTACCAACTTTAACTAATTTTAGATGAATGAACAAGTTAATTAATGATTTTTATGCAAGTTTCATTTTAGGAAGTGCTAAACAGTTATATAGAGCAGAAATGTGCAAGTACCAGAGACAATGTAGAAGAGGACTCGTTTCTTATTTTTCTATAGAGAAATTGTGCACCAATATAAATTATCAGATCATATTATTTGACAGAACTAAAAGTGACCTTTTTAGTATTCTCTCAACCTTGTTACTTCTGATTATTTTCTCTATTGAAATTTATCATTAGCTATTTTTATCCATGAAACTAGGTATATTTATGGAATTAATCTCTGAGATGGTATTTATTTGGGTTTCTTATTTTTGTTTTTTTTTAAAATGCAATTTAAGACCTCATGAACAGTAACTAAACATTTAAGTATCTAGTTGTCCTGTTTCTATTTTGTTATGCAAGGAATTAATGCAATGTTGTTTTCTGTAATATCATCTTCTACAAACTCTCTTAAAATTACCCTTAAATTTTGACCTGAGTTTCTTTTTTCCTCTGTAAGTACTTACTATTTAGTAGCCACCAGCAGATAAGAGATTAATTCTTCATTTATTTGACAGTCATTATTCCACGTTAAAAGCCCAAAGATATTTGGTAATAAATAACTAGGATATTTTAATAAACGTTTACAAACTGTAATGCAGTGTTCTCTTAGCAACTCCGTGTCTGCACGGCATATACATCCAACTCCCTGTTTTATCTGCCGATTTTCAGTCACTATCTTTTTAACCCAAACAGCATGAAATAGCATCTAGATAGTATCTCAGATGAACCGTTTCATTGCGCTCCAATCCTTTTTCAAAGGATTTCAAAAGCCATCACTCTGAGGCAGTTTCTCACTCCATGTCCTTTTTCTCACCACATCAGTATTTCTTTATTGTGTAACTTGACAGATAAGAATTTACACGGCCTTTTCTGCATGCTCGTTTGCACAATAAATTACAAATAATCCAGATATTCAGTCAAATGTTAGCATTTTGATTGTTTTCATGTAAGTGTCCATATTTTAGCAGGGAACTAATATTAATGACACACTGCCAAAAATTATTACAAATTGGGTGCCTTCGGAGTCCACCAGCTCTGCAGCCGCTTTCTGCCTTTGTTAAGCTGTCTCTTTCCATTTACACTCCAGATTTGAACTCTGAGGATGTGTACTCTATTTAATTACACAGGGATAGCACGCACGAGGCACCAGACACTGTCAAAATCTGAAGAAAGCCAATCCCTGAAGACACAGTTTGCTATTTCTGCGGAACGGCTACTGTTTTTCTCCTAGTTCAGTATTTTTGCTGTTGTCACATACAGGAATTTTCTTTATTTCAACGGGCTCAGCCTGTACCAACTTGCTCCTTTTAGCCTTGTGTTGTCATGTTGACTTGGTTGCGAGGACTTATTTATTTACAGTAGCCCCACTACTGTTTTTACTTGTGCCAGCAAAGAGTTTTTCATATTCCAGTTCCTAGCCTCCCCCCCGACAAACACACATACAGTCTTAAAAGAAAGAAAGAAAAATACTTGAGAGAAGAGCCAGTGCTTTGCTCCTCGAATCTTGGAAGACAAAGATCAGGAAAAATGCCTAGTTAATCACTGAATAAAGAAAAAAAAGCTGCATCGGCTCCTCTGTGACCTTTTTTCTCATTAGCACTTCAGGAATTCACCTTGTTCAATGTAGTATGTCTTCCCAATTAAAGACCAGGCCTCCCAAAAGGGTACCAAAGTGGTAGGGACACCACATGAAGTTGGGGTTATTCTTACAACCTTGCTCCACTGCTGCAGCCACCGGGTAAAGCACATTCATTCAGCAGCTGCAAATTCTCCATAAGCTCCTGGAGTCAATAACAAGAGCTGGGCATGAGACCTCTAGCTTAACAGGTAAGTTTTCAGGTAGAGTTGAGGATCACAGTAAAATCAGGACAGGGGATTTGTCTCAGTATTGGGTTGGGTTATATCTAAGGTCATAGTTTGTGTCCAGAGTTAGTACTGATGCAAATCCAGGAGGAATTTACAGGCCTGGCTATTTTGATCTTGTCTCTTTTGTGACTTCCAAGCCATTGTGATTTGGATTCCAAGCATAATCCAGCTTTATAAACATTATTCTCCCTTTCTTTGGCTAAAAATATACCACTTCCACTCCGAGCTCCAGTATACTGCTGACCATGTATATTAATCCCTGAAACTACTTCAGCTGATACGACCCAAATACTTAAACTGAAAATCAACTCTGAAAACACAGATGACATCAGTGAGTTCCACTGTGCCACTACTTGCAACCACAGGAGTAGGTTCATTGCAGAGAGAGTGATGGGGACCTGAGCACGAGTCAGGTAACTGTTCCCTTCATAAAACACCTCCCTCTTTGGGCTCTGATCACAGCTGCTTTTGCAGAATGTTATGAAGATAAATAAATAAAAAAAAAAACAACAAAACAAAACCCACCAAAAAAAAAAACCCAAAAGAAAACCAAACACTCTTTTCATTTTAGATGTGAGATGTTCTTCCTCTGGCAAGGAGGCTTCCTGGCCAATTCTAAACCAGAACAATTTACTGAGTTAAAGGCTCCTACATTTGGCCATAAGCATTTTTCTTTAGAAATGCAGCAACAATCAGCCCAACGTGGAAGCCAGACGGACCTGGGACTGCCGCTGCCCACTTTAGGTGGAAATTCTCTTTTATTAGAAACTGCAGAGCATGTGTGTGGGCAGGAGGGAGCAGGGCGGAGAGGTTTGGTCCCCGGTTGTCATTCTTTAGGCGTGACCACAAGGCTGCAATTTCTGGAAGGCAGCTGGGCAGAAAGGATGAGGAATGCCCCTGCCTCCCTTGGGGACACCGCTCTGACGATGCCAGGAGCTGTGATTTGTCTCTCCAGGAATGTTGCCACCTGCAGCAATTAAGCCTCCTCTACAATGTGATTTAAACGAGAGGATATTTTTCCACAGAAACTGCCAGATCATTGTTTCCTCCAAGTGCCTCAGACAGGCAAGAAAATAAATGCAATGAGGAGTCCTCGAAACGGGGTGCTGCGGCTGTCCCAAAAGCAGGTGAGGGATGCTCTGCATGGCCCGACAAAATTAAGTGAGCCTGACAACTCCATCATCATTTCCCCAGACATATCCATCGACTGGCGTTAAAGGAACCGAAACTACATCTGATCTCTATTCACCTTCACTGCCTTTGTTGGGCAGGGAACAAAGTGCATGCATAAAACCACTGCTGGATGCGTTTTGTCATTCAACACAACAGAAGCAGACCTCCCAACAAGCTCCAGTGGCTTCTCTTGCATATCAGAAGACAAGAGAACTCCTATAGAGCCACGATTTTACTGTTTCAAGCCTTTTTTTTCAAGCCTTTTAAAGTTTCTTTAGAATCACCCTTAAAACAAAACCCTTATGTCAGCAGAAACTCTTGCTTAGATACACTTCACCTGTTATTTTTATGAATGTGGATGATCAAAGAATAACAGCTGAGGCAGTTAAGAAAACACAGTTACACAGATCACACCTCACCCACGGAAGGTCAGGTTTTGCAGTACAATATGTCAAATACGTTCCCCTTGGGCACTCTGTCAGGGGGAATGGGGAGTTTTTAGGGACATATTGTTTGAGGACACCCTGCAAAGTGCCTTTGCAAAGCTCTCACCTGTTCAGTGATGAAGGAGCTGGAAAAAGTGACAGCTGACCAAAAGAAGATCCCGCAGCTGAGAATGATCTTTCTGTTGAAACGGTCACCAAGGTAACCGAAGATTGGGGCGGCAACCATGAAACTACAGATGAAAACTGCAAAGGAGAGAAAAAGGAAAAGAAACGTTTAATAAACATCAGGCCAAGAACATGAAAACTAATTTTCTGCAAGCCAAATCCTCTAGGGAGCAGTTCCATTTAATTAGACATTCTGCAGCCCTGGCTTACAAAGTTGTGCAGGCTGATGGGCTTTCAGAAGTCAGTGTTTCCTTAATCAAACAGATTTTTCATTCCCAGAGAAACTTCAGACCAGTGAACCCATATTCCATCTGAAAGCACCAGCCCCTGCGAGCTCGGCATGCGGGGATGGGCGAAACCAGGACAGAATAAATTAAGAGTTTCTCCCCAATTGTCACCGAGAAGGTGAAGTGGAGGTTGGGAGGAATTTCAAGCAAACGGAAAGCAAGCCAAGGGCTCCTTCTTGGCTCCTGCAGCAGAGACCAGAGAGAAATAGGCCACAGAAGCTGCAGTTCTCTCATCTTTCCTAGCAGTATTTAGGGTAATGATAAAACATTGAGAAAAACAGTTAAGATTCTGATCATCATACTGGCAAGTAGTTAAAAAACTCCTGTCTCCTCACCAGGTCCTTTAACCAGTACTGAAGTTGGGTTAATCACTATGGTGTTGGGATTTGAACCCATCACAAAGCAACAACTTCACTACAAGAAGGAGTTGTAACCTAGAAAGCCCCAACAGGCCAGGAATGTCCACTTTTGAAAGATTTCAATTTCATCTTTCCCCCCAAAAACCCCAAAGCATTAGCCCAAGACCTTCTGTCACAAAGGAATAAGTCTTTTGACAGAAAAACCTCTGCAAAACCTCCTTGACTTTAGAGCTCACTCCTCCAGGTTCGCTCAAAGCCGTCTGGCCAGTGACACCACTGGGAACACCTGGCACGAAGCACTTAGACCATATTCACGATTAATTTGGAACTTGGCAGAAATGACCAGATTTTAAGCTGATTTATACCTGGCTTTTGTCTGGCCACATTAGAGATCTGGATGAGAGCAACTACCTCGATTTCACTGCCATGAAGGATGAACTTTTCCTTTCACTGACTGTCTTCGGGTCAGCAAACCCAGAAGGATCTGAGTGGGACAGTAGAATACCTGGAGATCCCCCTTTAGTCACAGAATTATGACTCTCATTCATTATTGAGCAGTTTTTGGAAGGCAGGGTGGGCTTCAGTATTGTCTAACCCTAGCTGTCTTCTTTTAATTGTATAAAAGGGGGTGAGAGGATAGAATAGGGAAAAAACCAGCAAGAGCAGAGGACACACCCCTCTGGTTGGAATGTGTGCATAAAATTAAAGTGGTTAAGACCCAAATTATGAATTTTTCATGGATGATGATATACGATAGCTCAAAAACGTGCAGAATGCTGAACTATGAAATGAGCTAAATGTCTCTTCCTTTTTAATATATTAAGATGTCAAAGCTGCTCTATAAATAATACATATCCATTTGCATCTATATTTTGCAAGCCATATGATGGTGTGCGTATCGCTTTTGCACCATGATATTTTGATAGGAATTACAGATTTACTCTTTTTACATTTAGAGTAAAATAAACAGAGATAATACAGAAATTTTAAGACATGAAAAGGAGCGCACGCAGCGTTATATCACACATATTTCAATAGCAACGCTATGAACAAGGCTGCTGTTGAACTAGTGAATAATCCCTATTGATAGAACGCCCGGACCCTGCATCTCTCCCCAAATCCCACTGCCCCCTCCCTGTGGCACCCCCATTCCCAGCACAGAGCCTGGCTTTGCCAGACAGGGCTGAGTGCTGCATTCTGCCCCCAGCACCCATCTCTGCTCACACAGGCTCCCACCCAGCAGGTCCATGCAAGGCCTGGGGTAGCCCAAGAGCTCCATGGAGCTGCACATCCCTCCAGTCTCCAGTGAACTTGGCTCTAAGAGACCAGAATCATAGAATGGTTTGGGTTGGAAGGAACCTTAATGATCACCAAGTTCTACACCCCTGCCATGAGCAGGGACACCTCCCACCAGACCAGGTTGCTCAAAGCCCCATCCAACCTGGTCTTGAACCCCTCCAGGGATGGGGCAGCCACAGCTTCTCTGGGCAACCTGGGACAGGCTCTCACCACCTTCAGAGTGAAAAATTTCTTCCTGATATGCAATCTAAATCTCCCCTCTTCCAGTTTGAAGCCATCACCCTTCATCCTATCACTACATGCCCTTATAAAAAAGTCCCTCCCCATCTCTCCTGTAGGCCCCCTTCAGAGCATCTTCGTGGCCTCCTCTGAACTTGCTCCAACAGCTCCTTATCCTTCTTGTGTGGAGGGCTCTGGAGCTGGATGCAGTGCTGCAGGTGGGGCAGTGGCTCACAAATCTCTACTCCACAAGGATCCATCTGCACTGGCCCCAGTCCAACAAGGCACTTAAGCACATGCTTATATTAAGCACTTTAGAGTCATCAATTCCATGATTAAGTGCTTTCCTGAATTAACACCAAAGCGCTCGGCACCTTGCAAAGCGGGTACGGCAACCTGGCACGAAGGATGTGTTTATTGGGGATGAGAAGCAGAAAATGACTCTGACTCGTCGACAGCAGCGTGCCCATTGCAATTTGACCTTACCCTTGGAAGGACACTGAAATTCATTCATCTCAGAATGAGATATCCTGCCATTTTTACGATGTAAAAAGACGTGAAGCTTAAAAAGCTTCCAAGGGAAAATGAGAAACATCCAAGTCAGCATCCCACCATTTCAAATATCAGATAACCTGATTAATTCAACTTTGAGGCACGGAGGGGATGATCCAAAATTCACATTGATCACTGGGATTATTAGCTTCGATGACCTCTGGATCATAAATGCAAAGTCTAATTCTGGAATTTGGGCAAAATCAGGCAAAAAGCACAAGCGTCCTCTTTCCAACTGTCAAAAAGATGGTCCGATGCCTTTCCAAAAACATACATCCTGCTGTTACTCAAATCCCTTTGGAGGATTTATTTTTGGAAGATTCTGAACCGAGCTGTGAGCTTTGTCACCGTTAAGCCACGGACTTGACAGCTCCACAAGGTGTAAAACGAAAGGACAACAGAACCTAATAAATAACAGGTAATAGAACGCAGCTGTCATAATAATAAATGCAATTTATATCAGAGTATTTATGACCCAAATATGCATCACAGCCTTGATTGACTCAAATAAATGCAGAATATGATGGCTGTGTGGTCTGTCAAAAAGATCAGCCTGTTACAGGCATTTCCTGTGAATCAATTTTTGCAATTACTCCTGCAAATGACAGCCGAGACCCCGGAGCAGAAGAGAGGTGAATGAATCTAGGGCACGTTACCAGGTGGGATGGAAACCCCAGTTACTCTAGACCAGGAGCTGAGGTTCTATGACAACTGAACACCAGAAGAGAGAAAACTGGCAGCACGTTCAGGTGGGGAGAGGGGCAGCAGAGACATGACTGATTTGTAGAGGAGAACAGCCCCAGCGTAACGCAGGGGGATGCATTCCCGTTAAGGAGCCTGGCGCTTGTGCCAGCCTCTTCCCATCTGGCTCCTTTCCCCCTTTCCACAGCATTTTCTGCTCCTTGCACTCACTCACGTCCCTATTAATACCCAAGTGACACCACAGCAGCTGCGGCTTCGGCTCGACCCGCTGCCACAAATCTTTTATATTAGGAGAGCGCGGTGACAGAGGCTGGCATTTCATTTGCCTCTTCCCAATCAACAGCTCCTCTTCCCGTCTCACAACATTACCAGCTCTTGAAGAGACGCACAGTGCAAGGCTGGGCAGAGTTAGGAATCCACTGGGATTTGGGATGAGCTACTGAAAAGGCAGCGATGGTGTTGGGAGCACCTGTGGGCAGGTATAGCCGTGTCAGTCGCCATTATGTGTGCCGTACAGCTAATTTCTCTTGGTAAATGATCTCCAACAGTGACAGCAGAAGCGTCTGGGTCCCAGCACTGGGTGGAGCTGAGACACATTTCTGCAGGAGCAAATTATCGTGTGAGCAAAGGATGAATAAACAGACATAATGAATGCCAACCCAGGAGGGAGGTACTTTTTAAGTACAGGTATTTTCGAAAGGAGATCACATTTGTCTTTATGCCTCCCTTTGTGGCACAGCCACTGAAATGCCGACCGCAGCGAGAAGGCAGGAAGAGTATAATTGCCCAAACAGGATGGCTTGGTGTCTATTTCTGCCTCTGAATGCCTGTCCCACCCTGTACAGGTGCACAAGCATCTTCCCAGCCAGCACTGCCCAGCTTCTTCTATGAGTGGCTGGAATTACAAAAATGTGCAGCATTAAAAAAAAATAAAAATAAAAAAATATCTTACACTTCCCTCCCTTCTCCTCCGCCCAAACACCCACCACAGAAGGAAAGCATCCTCCCCAGCCTCTGTTGTCTCCTCCACGTACCACAGCTCGGGTCCCCATTGAGCCCACACGCTCCCTTCTCCAGGGCTGCCCATGTATCCAGAGGACAAGCAAACCCCCAGAGAGTGGAAGCAAAGGAGAGGAGGGGAGAGGGAGAAACTGCAGACTTTAACAGTCACAAAAAGCTCCCCACTACTGGAACTAGACTTCATTGCTCTTATTTTTCTTTTCTCTCCCTCCAAACAAAAATTTACCAGCTTGAATCTACAACTGTTCCCTGAAAGGACTCCGACCCATCAGCTTTCCACCCCTTGATTCCAAAGACATCGTTGCCTCTGTCTCACTTGCTCTTTTCTTGCAGGGACTGCTCAGCCCTTTGTGGCTCAGAGAGGGGCTTCTCCTGCCAGCAGGTCATCCATGGAGTACAACCAAGAGGGCAGCGAGGCACTGACAGAGGCACAGGCAGAGACTACACTTCCTCAGTTACTGGAAGGTTGAGAGTATCACAAGTGCCTCCAAGAAAAGATCCCTTCTTTCCCTTTTGACTTCAAGCACACAGGGTTGGGTTTTTTTTCTTTCCCTTTTGACTTCAAGCACACAGGGCTGGGGTTTTTTTCTTCCTATTGGGAATAATGCTAGAAAGGTTCAGATAAAAATAGCTCACTCGC